TGGCTTGCGGCCCCCGTGGAGGAGCCATCACCCCTAGCTGCAGGGCCCTTTCCTGCCCTTTGCCTCGAGCTGTCGCCGCTGCCGGGCTTTCCGAGGGGCTTTCTGTCTTCCTGGGCAGCAGCCTGACCTGCTCGCTCTCCCAGAAGTCCTGCCCTCTGCTCTGAGAGCACCGGGGTCAGTTTAATGAGTTAGTGCTGGCAAAGCAATTCTGGAGGGATAAGTGCTGTGTAAGCACTAAGTCTCCCAAGTCTCCCTGTGTTCGGCGCACGAGCCCCGCACAGCCTGGCTCTGCTGCCCTACAGCACAGATAATTGCCCGGAGCGCAAAGTGCTGGCTCAGACCAACCCTTTGTCGCATGGCCTGTGGGGGGAGAGGAGACTCTCTGAAGGGACAGGTTCAAGCCTCGATCCTTGGAGCCTGGGGATGGTGAGGGCAGGGGCAGCCCCTCAGCTGCGCCCCTGCAGCTCATTCAGGCGGGGCCCTGGGGAGGAAGCCCCGGCCTGAGAAGCTGCCCGTTCTCTCCGTGACGGGTGCTTGCAGGGGCAGGATGGAGCAGGATGGCAGCGTGGGTGCTGCTGGGGCCGCTTCGGCAGTGGCCCTCATGGTGCTACGAGCCCCTGTGCCTGCCAGGCTGCCAGCAACAAGCTGGGCAAGTCCATGCAGGGCCACGTCCTGCAGACCCCAAGCTGCCCAGTTCGTGCCAGGGGCCTGGGCAGCAGCTGTCAGAGCAGCACTGAGGGTCCGGCAGCCTCGGCATCTTCTCCACCTGGGGCTCGCATCACAGATGGGCACAAACCAGTCTCCGTCAGCACCCCCAGCCCGGGGCCAGGGGGCCTGTGTTGGGCTCTGGCCCTGGCGCAGACCCCGCCGGGCAGGGCTGGAGCTGGCAGGAGGACAAGCCTCGCTGTAAGTACCCGAACTGAGCCGGCATTGTGTAGGCGAACCCCTGGGTCCGTGTGCGCAGCCTCGGGGAAGGATGGCAGCTCCGGGCCCTGGACGGGAGGGTCCCCCGTCCGCTCCCGTGCAGAGAACTGGGGGAAAATGCTGTGGGGGGAGCCCTGGACTGTCCCCACAGTCTTGCAGGGAGCTCTGCCTGTTGCTGCTGGACGGACAGGCTCCGGCTCCCTCCTCAGCCTAGCATGTGGACAGGCAGCGCATCTCCATGGGGGGAGGGCAGCCGGGGCTGCCCCGCGGGGCTGGCAGGGCTGTGGGGTGGCCCCACAGGAGAGGGCTCCCTTCTCTGTGGGGTGCTGGGGTTCCCTGTTGCAGCAGCACATGCTGGGCTCGCACCTCGCTGTGCAGTTTTGGGAGCTGGGAGTGTTCAGGGCAGGGTGGGGCGCGGCTGGGGCCAGCAGGAGCCCGCTGGGGCGAGCGTTCCCAGGGGACGTGCGACCCTGCGGGCCAGCTCCAGCCCCCCCCAGCCGGGG